CGTAATCATCAATCCAGAGGCAGATCTATTACAGGAGTCATACAGAGTATTTTTAATAGATCTGCATTTGTTTTTGATTTAAAATGCTGAGCAGGATTATAAAAACTGTTGAGGTGACTCCCTATTTGATATTATAATATATATATATTTCTGAATGTAATACCAAACAAATTGCATCAGTTGTTCTTTCTTTAGTAATCTCTCCCAACTGACCTCCTACAAAGCATTCTGAACCCCATTCTTCTGACGTGATGGAAGATGCAAAGATCACATTAACTAAGTCTGGTTAAAACTTAAGGGCATTTCTGACCTACTCAGGTCAGCACAGAAGACAAAACCAATTGATTGCCAGCTGGATATTCCAAAACCAAACTAAAAGAATTGGTCTAGGGTATATTAAGTATGTCAGGCATTTCCCTGGATAAAGCTTAACATCATGGGCTCAGCTGAATTTTGGTCTTCCACCCATATCTGCTTTACTGTTCCTGCATCAGACTTTGTCATCTATAACTTAGAATGAATAAAGTTCTTTGAGAAAAGAGTGACATTTATTCTGAAGCAGGGCACATTTCCTTCCACACCACCATGCTCACTAATCGGTGCCAGGAGCTCTCATTCAGACCTTTCATCAGTAACAGCCGAGGATGAGGGAACAGAGGAGGTCTGCAGTCAACTGTGAAAGCCAATTTATACTGTGCCAAAACCACTGTAATGCTTAGCCCAGAGGATTTTGGAGTTAAATACAGAGGAAGAAGCCATTGATAATGTTTTATAGGAGGCTGACTGGGAAAGATCACTGAGAAAAGGGCAACAGCTTACTCAGTTTTTCTTGGAGGGTACATATGACCCTGTAAACACTGTATTAACTTTTTTTCAATTAGGAATAATGGGCTTGGATCTCTTGACATAAGCTCTGCTGCAGCAAATCATTTGTATTAACATTCAGAAAAGCAGTAAACTTCAACTGAATATTGCATCTGTCAGAATTGGAAGGCAAAAGGTCCCTGTCACTAGGAAGTGCCTTTTGCTGAAATGCAAACATGTATTATTAGAAGTTGTAAAGTCACTTCACTGTAAAGAAAAAATTGTTGTCATGGCTGGAGCAAGATCTGGCTGCATTTATGACTGATGAATTATGGGTATGCCTATGTGAGTTCTTTTTACAATCCTTGCTTCCAACATTTTCTGAGTGTCATCCAGAACATTTTAGAGGTTTCCTGAAGGTCTCACCTGACCAAGCAAAAAATAAAGATGTCACAATAGGAAAGTCACACAGGTATACCTGATGTGGGAGTCATGCCTTCTAATTTTTGGTCATCTAAACTTTAGTCCTACAGAAGATAATTTTTTAGGATGTTTGTAATGACTGTTTGAAGTTGCCTGTCTCTCTCTGTAGACCAGATTTCTTTTTTTCATGTAATGGAGACACATAATTGGCAAGTGCCTCAAAATGCACCTGCCTGTTCTCTGAGATTTTTGCCTTTGTAGCTCTAGAACAGTAAAATTTTCATCAATGAATGTTTATTTAAGGGACCTTTCATGATGATTTTAATTCCTTTGGTTTGGAAATTTTCAAGTTGACAACAATCTACACGTATTTTTAAAAATAATTTGAAAAAAATACTTATTCCACTCTTCAGAGTTGCCAAATCCTGATAGACACAGAAAAGTTTAAGTGCAGGTAATTAATGTGTTGTTCTTCCATATTCTTTTGTAATGAAAACTGGTAACACATCTTGGGTCAGATAAGAATACTATTAAAAAGAAACATAATACAAATGTATTGTCTAAATTTGCTACTATCGGACAGGAGTAATTATAGTGAATTACCCTGTACAGTATAGGAAACTCTGTACAGAACTAATACTCTTCTTAGAATACCTTATAGAAAATGAAATGCTAAAGAGCCAAGAATGTAGTATCTGCTTAATTATGTCAGAAAAATATTCTAGGTCCTTGTTTCTGTTCCCTAGAAAAAGCCTCTCTCACCCATGTACGTGCAAATTACATAGCCGAAATATTTTCTTTGGCCTAACTCTACTGTTGATGGCATATCAAAAAGACATGCTAATGTAAAAGTTTCTACAACATGCCCTGAGCCCCTATAGACTAATAGCTATTTGCTAGTAGCAGGTGATCTCACTACAGATGCTTTAAGAGATGAGCAAGTTCCGTCCCTAAGTTCTTCCGCAGCACCTGTTGCTATCATCTCCAGAGCTTCTCTTCAAGTATGTCCAACACAAATTTGTGTGTATCTATGCAAATTAAAAGATAAACTCATTATTTTTACAGTTTATGAACCTCAGAAATACAGCTTTTTCACTCTTCTGCATCTTTTGGTGGTAACATCTTTGTTAGTGTGCTAGTAACTGAGGTCCATTGTGCCAAATACTGTTACTTTCTGTATAAATCATGTGCAAGGAAGCAGCAAAGTTAAATATAAGTGAACCTCACATAAAAGCATTTTATAGAAATACACATTTTTGCATCCTAACTGTAATCATTAGTGAAAGAGTGACCAAAGCTGTGTTAAACACTCCTGAGATGTTTGAAGTGGTTTAACCAGACTGCTCACAGAATACGGTTCTTTAAAAAAATGCAGTTTTTTAAATGCTTGCATTTAAATCTTGTTACAATTCTGTAATGGAAAAATGTAGAATGAGATTTGTGGATCTCCCCTGAAGGGGAAATAAAACACAAAAAGAACTTGATAAGCAATGAATAAAAGATCCACTGAGAAAATCAGAAAAATATCTGTAACCAGTGTAGTGCTCATGTGCTGCTACATTTGTAAGATACCGGGAGAACGAACAGTTAAGCTCTGAGAAATACACAATTATTATTGAACAGTGGTTATCTTTGCTTTTTCTGAATCCTAGCCTACTTGTTTTGTGTAGGGTAGATATAGATGCCTTAACTAATTGCGTGGTGCCTATTCCATTCTATTAATCGTATCCAAAAGAAGGTCCATCTCTCCATGCCTCCAGATATGCTACATATATTATTCTGTTTTAAAATAGATGTTTTAAAATGGATGCCACATCTAACATTTAACAAAACAATGCTGAAATTGCTTTTTTCATGAACAGAATCAGTGTTAGGCCTTGCATGGAACAGTACACAATCAAGCTTACACTGTTAGCCAAAAGAGATAGCACCTGACATCCTTTTCAGGTAAATCCAAAATATTTTCTTTGTGATGCTCCAGTTTAACAGAAAACCAATTACAATTTTCCACTTATTTTATACTGAAACTAATTCATTTTTTCTTTAATATCCCTATCAGAATCCGGAGAGAAAGACAAATAATAATTAAGTATGACTTTAAAAAACATGATCTGAAAATCTTCCAATTCTGAGTAAAAATGTAAAAAATTAAAGGATGTGAGATTAAATATAATAAGTGTCCGTGTTACTAGAAATACTTCATGTGTAACCGTTTACTTCCGCCGTGTGGCACAATCATTTTTCCCCAAAGGGCAGGAGTTATATGACACCTTTAATAGAAAAATAAGCACTCCAGCTGACAGTTGCTTAACGCATTTTTGGTTAGTGTAAATTTAACAAAAATCTGTAGTTTTGCGAAGCTGCCACAGGAGCAGCAGATGGATGACATCCAAAGCACCAGCCAAACATGAAGGAATTATAGCAGGGCTGAATTCTGCCCACTAAGATTACAGGCTACTTATAGTTTATATACTGACACTAATAGCTGTAGGAGCGCAACGTTACCATAGAAACTTGTAGACCAGTAAAATATTCCTCCAGCTCTCCACCAATGTAGGGACGGGAATACAAAACTGGATATGGAAATGAAAGCTACTGGGGGATGATGAATGTGAACTGACTGAGGGTGGGGATTAAGGAGGACCTTAACAAGCCTTTAGGAGTGAAGAATGGCTGTGACCTCCCTAGTTAATACAGTGGCGTATTCTCTAAGATCTCCCACATTTGTTGACAGGAAAATGTGTCACAGAAACATGGCTTTTTTCCCTTGGGATTACACCATCAGACATCTTTTGAGCGTTTTTCGTAATTATTTGATACTGGTTTTACATAGCGGGGCTTTTGCAGAAGGGGGGCCATGATTCAAAATAATATAGACTGTGTCTCCAGACTGTTTCTCCAGAAAACTGTACTTTATGAACTGAATTAAATAAAATGAGCTGATTTAAATTAATTCTAGAGTCTGCACATTTTAATATTTCTAGGTAAATACTGCAAAATGCACTACTGCAATTCTCAGCGCATCTCTAGAACTTTGTTTCTAATTCACTCGCTTTTTAATTGCATATTCAGGCATTTTATTCTAGTCAAGGTCACGGAGTCAAATTTTTGCATGGTTGTTGCTGATTTTGAAATGTGTAACATCTCCGTCAATAGAGAACCTTACAATTTGCTGGAATTTCAGTATGAAAAAAATAACTCTGTCTTATCCACCAATAGTTTTCCTGGCATTCTGTACACTTTCCAGAATACATTAGTACGTATGCCATCTAACTCATATCACAAGAACAAGTCCATCTGTTTAAATGTACTAATTTTGTCACACTAAGTGGTATATGTTGGGATTTTACTTTTAAAAATGTTAACTTTACAATGCACAAGATGAGTTGGGGTTTTTTTTATACATACATAGCAGTGTGTAGATATTAGCTGTCCCACAATTTATTGAAGACCAAAGGCATACTACAGAATCCATACTACTGCAATTCATCTGTTTCCAAACATTTGCACTAACTATCTATGGGCTGCTCTTTAAGATGCAGAATAGACAGACAGGAAGAAGAGAAGAAGATTTGAGCTAACTAAGCAAGTCAATGAGATGGAATTCAGTTTGTACTTCTAAGCCAATTGTCAGAAGTAGATAAATGCTGCATTTAACAAGCACCATGTCCAAATGAGCTATCGAATATGAAAAAATAAACAAACTGAGTACTTAAGATCACATTTATCGTTGTTTATCAAAATACTGTTTTGATTATGAATGCATATGTTACCTTGCTGGAGCTTGATCATCCACATCACTCTTTGGTTTCTGAGGGATCACCTGTTCTGATGAAGATGCAGCCCTGCAATAGGAATAATGAAAACGTATTTAAGACACAAGAAGATATCTGGAAACATAATATACCATTTAAACAGATTAGCATTGTACATATTGTATTACTTACAAGTGTAACCATAGTGAGTTAGGATTTTCTTTGAGAAACATTTTTCTATTTTTAAAATTTAACTCTATGAAATACATAATACATAATATATAACTTATAAGTAAGATATACATAATATATTGCATAATATATAATTTAAAATAGTATATAT